GTCATTGGTTGGTCACGCGGTCAATTGGTCAGTTGGTCAATTGGTCAGTTGGTCAATTGGTCAGTTGGCCAATTGGTCAATTGGTCAATTGGTCAGTTGGTCAGTTGAGTGGTCAGTTGAGTGGTTGGATGAAGAGTTGAGTGTTTGAGTGGTCAGTTGGGTGGTTGATGAATTGGGTCAGTCATTGGTTGGTCACGCGGTCACTTGGTCAGTTGGTCAATTGGTCAGTTGAGTGGTTGGGTGGTCAGTTGGGTGGTCAGTTGGTCAGTTGGGTGGTTGGATGAAGAGTTGGGTGGTTGAGTGGTCAGTTGAGTGGATGATGAATTGGTCAATCATTGGTTGCTCAGTTGGTCAATTGGCCAGTTGGTCACTTGGTCAGTTGATCAATTGGTCAATTGGTCATTTGGTCAGTTAGTCACTTGGTCAGTTGGTCACTTGGTCAGTTGGTCACTTGGTCAGTTGGTCACTTGGTCAGTCGGTCACTTGGTCAGTCGGTCACTCTGCCCTCCGCCCCGCAGCGACCCCAACCAGCCGGTGCCGCAGGACACCAAGTTCATCCACACCAAGCCCAACCGCTTCGAGGAGGTGGTGTGGACGCGCTTCGACGGCAAGGACAAGCGCTACCTGCACATCGGCCTGAAGCCGCGCGTGCGCGACCACTACCGCGCCAACAAGGTCGCCTTCTGGCTGGAGCTGGTGCCGCACCTGCACAACCTGCACCAGCTGCCGCACGCCTCCCCCACCACGCGCCTGCCGCCGCCCGCCGGGCCCCCGCGCCGCCCCCCGCCCACGCGCCGCGCCCCGCCGGCGCCGACGCCGCCACAAAATGGCCGCCATGATGAGGATGAGGATGAGGATGATGACGGCGACGGGCGGCGGCGCTTCGCGCCCTTCCCCGGCGACTCGCGGGACTACTCCACGGAGCTGAGCGTCACCGTGGCCGTGGGCGCCTCCCTCCTCTTCCTCAACATCCTGGCCTTCGCCGCGCTCTACTACAAGCGGGACAAGCGGCCGGTGGGGGAGGGGCTGCGGGGGGCGGGGCCGCGCCGCCTCAGCCCCCCGCCCCACCCCCACCCCGCTTCGCGAGGGGGCGTGGCCAGCAATGATCTCCTGGGGGGTCGGCACGTTGGCGGTGGGGGAGGGGCGGAGGAGGAGCTGGTGCAGCTGCAGCTGGCGGTGGGGGGAGGGGCGGAGCCCCCCGAGGGGGGGGGCCCGGCGGGACCCCCCGACTACACGCTGGCGCTGAGGAGGGGTCCCGAGGACGTGCCCCCGCTGCTGCCGCCCCCCACCACCATCACCATGGTGCCGGGGGGGGCGGGGCTGCAGCACCTCCCCCACTTCGGGGCGCCCTTCCCCCCGCCGCCCCTC